TTGCCACACCTGGCTGACTTGGACGAGCCCAAGGCTGACGTAAAATGCGTCACTTTCGAGGTTGGTGAAGTAGGTGGGATGAACAGATGGTGGTATGGAGTATGGACACTGGATGATGTCAAAAAAATCGCTGTTCGAACTCTCTCTTCATCAATTTACGTCACCCAACAAACTGACTCGTGATAGGGACCAAGTGGAAACGAGGTATCGCATGAATACATTATTAGCAATGTCGCAAAGCACTTCATCGAGGGCTATTCGTCCATCGCAAACATCAATTCTACGGCGGACGACTCCCAAAAAACGCAGCAATCCCAAAGTCAGGCAGATTCACACGATCTTGGCAGTCATCTCGGGCCGTTTGTAAGGATAGAATGCCCGGCTGGAGTTACTCTACTGATGCATACTTCAAGCTTCGCATTGATACCCAAACCGATGTACATACGGTCACCATTCCTCTGTCACCTCTTTCTCCTACGCATGCCGCCTCTCGTGGCAACCAAGTGTTATGGGCGATTATCAGTCAAGTCGCGGCGAATCAAGAGGCATACTTGTTCCCTTGGCTTAAACCTAAAGAAGCAGAAGGAGGCATTGGCGTAGGGAGCAAAAGCCGTGTGTCACCTGCCAAAGGAAGCGATGACTCGCGAAAGGCAGAGCTCGAAAAGCAGGTCCAGTATCTGACGGGCGAATTGAAAAAGCACGAAAAAGGTAAGAAATCTTGCCTGTTCTCCAGCTGGAACCGTATTTTAAGATGGAAAGCTAACGAATTGCCTCAGATACTGTCGTCTCTCCCCCCAAGGTTCGGCCCGGGAGATCATTGGGAAACCCAACGAAGAAAGCAAGAACAGTGCAGGCTTTGGTATACGATGATGATAGTGAAGAAGAGGAACCTATAAAGGCGAAAAAGCGAAAGACGAAAGGGTGAAGTGGGGAAGCCGACCTTTGAGTGACTGGCCACGACAATTAACTGTCGTAATATCGTCTCTTTTTAACCTTAAACATATTAAGTTTGAGTATTTACTGTAATCTGACTTATTGTCACTTCGAGTTGTAGCTCCGCTCTGATGCTCATCGTCGCCTCTTCGACCCTGCCACAGCCGGGTATTGTGGGCGTTGGGCACTACGCCACTTACCGGGCAGCTGAACCCCAATTGATATCATTCGTACCATGAGTGCAACTACTCGAGCATTCCTATCTCGACCCTCTCCCGTCTCGTTACGCCGGAACCGACCACCAACCACCTCTGAACGTGAACGAATCCTGGATCTTATTCGGGAAGACAATGAGTTGATCCATTACCTATTGGAAAAGGCTACTCAACGCTCACTTTCGGCCGCCCAAGCATCAGCTTCAGTCGAGCAATGGAAGGTTGGCCTAGTTGAAGCAGAGAAGCGACTGGAAACCGCGACCTCTCTTCACGATTTTTTCATCAAGAACCACAAAAACTCTTCGGCTCTCGACGAATTGCCCCCTCCGGCGAGTGGTTCGTCTGAATCGGCTGTTGGTCCTCGTAGCCAGTTCGACAGCTTATTGGCTATAGCCGACAGCTATATCCAGTCCACTCGCGCTGTAATCGAACAAGCTGCATTGGCCGTGCAAGAAGCTCGTGATTCGGTCGCCACCCAGCGAGACGAGTTACAGGCCGCGATGACGATCTCGATGATGCATCAACAGGGGCATGCTGTCCTCCAGGAGCAGGTGGAGATGCTGAAGAGGTCTGTGGAGGAGAAGCAGTCGGCGTTTCGGGCTATTTGGAGGGTGCCGGGAGAGATTTGGAGAATGGTTTTTGAAGAGGCGGTGAGCGACGATGAGACAGAGATGCAGGTTCTCTCCTTAGAAAAGTCCTGGAACGATGGAAGGGAAAGTGGTTGCGAGACGTTGCGACTCTCCGGTGTGTGCCACAACTGGAGGAGTCTAATCACTTCCTATCCCGATCTATGGAGTCATATTTATATGCCAAACTATGTCAAGAGTTCCCATCTCGCTCGAATCCATCACTACTACGGCCTCTGTAACCGGTCTCGCCTCCGGCTTACCGTCCTCTCCTCGAGTGATAGGGACACCCGGTGCTTCAAGCTCCTTTACAATCTATTCTATACCGGCACTTCGTGTCAGAAGCTAACGCTTTTGATCCGCGCCGCTGGTGTCCCAGCCGTCAATCTCCTCCTTCCAAATCTACCTCCTCCCGTTCAACTCGCCATTATCCGATATCCATACGTCACCAACGCAGAGGAAAACGAGCGTACTCCTACCCCGACCATTCCAAGATCACACTGTAACACCATTCGAGAGCTCGAAATCTCCGCGGCTGGGGCAATATGGACGAACGAGCCGACCATGCGACTAGAAAGATACAACATCGTCGCACCACCCATCAGCGCAATCTTTGGTCCACATCGCTTCATACCTTCATCCCTCCAAACCCTCACCAGCATCGGCATCCAAGGTCGCTTCTACGATCCTCAGCCACTTTCTACCGAAAGGAAGTGTCTACCTGATATACAAGAGACGACGATGTCCCTCCATTTTCTCGTTACCATGTTCATGCGTCATTACACGGTGCCATCTCTACGAAAGTTGGTTATACCGGCCGGCTCATCCGTCACTACACACGAGTGGCAAGAGTTCCTGACAGAGGCACAAATAAACTCCTTTAAAATCAAAGAGGTTTGCTGCTACTCGTTTGACGAACACATCGACTCGCTTGTCGATTGCTTGATCACTCTGCGCCAGATAGAGCGGCTGGAGCTCCAGGGCTCTTGCGTTGATCTAATGCTGGAACAACTCGTGGTCAAGATGGATCGAAAAGGTGACACCTTCCCGGACCTACAGAACATGGTGATATGCTCGTACAGTGGCGACGGTACCTCCATTCGCGTGTTCATCGAGGTGATGTGCCAGCGACCCGCCGTCGGCTATAGTGTAGACGAAGAAGAAGTAGTAGAGAGTGGAAGGAGGATTGTGTTGGCATTGCAGGGCTGTCCCGCTATCTCCTCCGAGAATATGAAGGTTATCAGGCAGCTCGCCCACTTGGTGTATTAACTTTAATGTCTCTTTGACTCCGCCTTGTGTAACTGTACTACTTAGAATGCATTCCCTTTCAAAATGAAACCACATAACTGCCCGAGAAAAAAAATGGACTACTAGCCCGATGCGGGGGTCGAACCCGCAACCTTGAGATTATGCATGCATAAAAGTCTCACGCTCTACCGATTGAGCTAACCGGGCGAT